ATGGGCAAATCAGTGAGGTGATTAGCGAGAGTGAGGAATTAGCAAGTTTCATCTTAATCAATGTAATTCATTTCAACGGTCGTTGGCTGCATCCATTCGACGATTCCAGTACACTCAAGGAGAAATTCTATCCAGCCGCAGGTGGGCAAATACGAGTAAGTTCATTTCGGGTGTATTTGAAGCATGTGGTATATCTCACAGATGATGAGCTTTGATTCAAATTTATTTCTTTGAAAATTTGAACTTTCTATTGTATTCCAACCTTTTCAATGTGTTCAAAACAGTTCGAAAATTATCCATCTTGATTAGTTTCTGAGCGATTAGTTCAGTTAAAATAGATTCTATGCAAGTGAGCAATATTTCAGATTCCTACAATGCAAGTCATTGAGAAATTTCCTTTCGTCGAAAACGATGATCTAAAAGTTATTGCGTTACCCTATGACAGTCAACAGCTCTCGTTGTACGTATTCTTGCCGAACCGAATGCATGGCCTCGAGGATTTTGAACGTCAGCTGGACGGACAAAAACTTCTGAATCTTGTGCGATCATGCACGGAAACCACTAGAAGTGTTGAGGTTCGATATTATGATACTTGGCCTTCAGATAGACTCGGTATCAGATGTAATGCCATCAGCAGCGATAGCTTGACTGGTTTAAGTGATTCGGCGTAGAATGAATATTGCAATTACTGTTGATCACTATCTGTGGATGTTTGAACTTGGAGTTAACTCCGCGGAAGAAGAAAACGATCACAGATATCGATCATCTGAGGTCTGCGTTCGAGACAACGTTTTCTTTTTTTCAGGTTCGTATACCAAAATTCACAATTGAGCTCAACTTCCCTATGATGGACGCTCTACGAACGATGGGTGTTCAGGATGCATTCAGTGCTCAAGATGCAGACTTTACAGGAATCTGCGANGGCACAAAAGCCAGTGCAGTTTCGTCCATTGGTATGGTGTTCAAATCAGGACGATGGACTCCACACTATTTCATCGCCAACCACCCGTTTTTGTTTGCTATCGTTCAGAATGAAACACTTCTATTTGTTGGTCACTTCACAGGATAATATCGCTCATCCTCTGAGCTGACTCTTGAAACATTCCACATATCCTCGAGGAACCACATTTCCCTCACAAATTAATCATTCATTGTCATTTGCCATCATAAGCATGACATTTCAACCGATTGAGTCATGAATTAATCTCAAGGTTTGAATGACTTCATTGTAATCATATTGTGATGAATGTTATACTTATAATGCTGAATGTGAATCTCGTGATGAATTCGTTCATGACAGTGTCATATGTTCGAGTAATCAGCTTATCCGATAAACTGCATTTTACCTTGCATTACAAGAGAAATGATGATTGGAGCAAACGCTGTCACTCAAAATTATACTCTCCTGTATTTTGCTTTCCACTGAATATTAATGCTAAACGGATAATGCTTCTTTTATACCATTTTTCAAAAATAACCCATTACCACTGCGGACTATTCCGTTTGCATGGAATATTTTCATTTTCAGCCGATTTTGTTGTATACATCGCTTTAACAGTATAAATAAATTCGGAAACAGCTAGTCTAACGGTGATCTTATACAATTCACTAACTGACGTATAATTTAAAAATCTAGATAGCTTTCTTTACTGATCTCGAAATCGTAGTCTTCTATACTTATGCAACACGTTGTGGTTGTGAAAGAAGGAATCGTGTGCGGTGAGTAAAACAATAATTATAATAATAACAACAATATTCTTTACAAGTAGAATGGGTGTATTCATAACGAACGATAACAAAGCGAATAACCGATCAACCAATCGATCAACTTAATCAATCAATCAATCAATTGAATCATTCAACAAATCAAAACAAATTTCTTCACTTCACTTGATTCTATTGCGACTGAACTGTCGTCTTCTCACTCACATAGACACCATCTAAGAATTTACGAATATCTTTGTTCTTAACGGTTGTTGACTGCTGGATTCGAGATGCTGAAATGTTCACCTCATTCATTCAAAATCAACAATCAATTCAGAAGAATCGAAATAATTCGAATTAACTGCAAACTGAACAAGTTGTTCATACTAAAAGATCGATTCAGTGNGTAACGGCAATTTGGCCCGATAGCCTAAACCTAAGCATAAGTGAATGCTAATCACAAAACTTGACCCAACGTTCACACTGCGGCAATACTGACTTATAAAGAGACTCAATCAAAAGATATAAATAGCAGGCTCTTCAAGACATTGCCTTCCAAAGGGAAGAATACTTGAGAAAAATTGAAAAATGACAATTCCAAACTTTCAACACCAACAAATTTCTGCTTTCCTTTAAGAGGTTTTCATCTCGAGGAATAAAAATTCAAGGCTAAAAATCAAAAATGTGTTAATAAATGAGCACACTGACCAGCTTGCGATACAAGTTGAATATCATTTCCATCGATAATTAACTCATCTTTTTGTGTCGTCGACATATTGGCAGTTACTCCTTCAGGCAGTGGCACACGTCGAATGATCTTCTCACCCAAGAAATTTCGGATCTACAATTGATTCGTTAAGTTCATCAGAAAAATATCAGTAATACAGCTCGCCATGAACTTCATTTCATTCGGAGAATATCAATACAGCACTACGATGATGCNATCCCAATTAATCAGCCATAGATTTCAACGTGAAAAGCGAATGTATTTGTGGTCACATTATTTAAATACTTGACGTTAAATCATAATAAAAACAGAACTTTCAAAAACTTTTCATAACCATTCTAGTTTAAATCAAATATATAAATACTAACTTCGACCACAGTGTTCTTTTCTTGAAGGGAAATATTGATTGGGAAATGCGCATAAACCGATCGCATTTTGTAACGATATCCCCTCGTGACACCTTTGATCATATTCTCAATATGCGAGCAAATCGTACGAATTGCAGCCAGCTCCTTCCTCACACCAAACCATTTACGAACTCGAATTGTATCCTTACCAACACGTTCGATCTCCATATGCGCATGACGAAAATCACGGGTGAGTGTACCCCGTGGCCCTTTAACAGCCACTCGCCGCTTGTTCACCGAAAAAGTTACCCCCTCGGGGAATTTCACTGTATCATGAGACTCAATTACCTTCATCCTGACCCCTCGGTTACCTGAAACACCAACGATTTAAACAACTTTCAATGGACCTAAATGAAAATTGGTGCCAAATGTACGTTCAACGGCGAAAACACATATGAAATGGAAAAATAATAAACAATTCCGCTGTGGAAAACTACTGCAAAACGTGGATTCCTCAAGAAACTTTGGAAACGTTAACTTCGGCTAAAACTGACGAATCACAAAAACGGTTTTAAATAGAGCTCAACTGCAAAATTTTCATCAGCATTTCAAATCTACATTCAGAATTCGATCAGAGAGGTTTATTAACGGAAAATCCAAAAAAAATTTACGAATGAATGCGTTAAAAACCTCACGAAACCGTAAAAATCGACCGTTTCAGGCTTTCACATATCATTTGCTTAGGTGAACATTTTTCACCGTAACTGAAAGTCAGTCGTTGCGAATCGTATGCTCTCATCGGTTACAACTAAGTAACGTTCGCATTTGATGCGCAATTGTTGCCCATCAAACACTTTTGAGGTTTCATTTTAAATTAAGGAAAATTCCGTTGCCATGAATTCTTTTCCATTTTCCATTTAGCTGATCAATGTCGAGGAGATTTTTCTGCTGAAAACAGTTGCATGCTTGAAGATAGTCCGTTTAGAGCGTTCGAGTTGTATATTCTTGCATATGGCCCGTCCGATTCATATGTTAATTTGTTCGATGGTAAATTATGATGGAGTTCTTTTCAGTTCTTTCGTCTTAAGGTGTCAGCAACTTCAGGAATTCGTCCAGAATGAGGATTAAGAAGAAGGTAGAATCTGTTTTCATTTCTCTCTGAAGATATAAATCAATTAAAACTTATTTCGGCGAACAGCTAGTATACTTAATTACTGTTCAACGTTCCATTCTTTGAAAATTCTTTATTTCAGCTATCCAAATTTCACTGATGACGAAACTTTTGAATCGTAAAAATTGACTAGTAGATTTGGCTGCATGAAAAAATCTGGTCATTACTATCTAAAGGGAACGTTTCTTGCAGCATGAGTCGGGAGCGGCCACGAATTACATCACCAGAACGAAGGCCCTGAAGAAGCTGCAGTTGAATCTGAAAGATTTCCGTCGCCTGTGCATTCTGAAAGGAATTTATCCACATGAACCGCTTCACAAAAAGAAAGTCAACAAAGGAACCACCGAGAATCGAGTTTATTACTATAAAAAGGACATCAACTTCTTGGCATCTGAGCCTATCATTGATAAATTTCGTGAATACAAGGTACGTATAATATCTGTTCTTTTGAGGAAGTTTTTCTTTACTCGAGAAATTCAACGATATTCGACATTTTTGATGTCGCTTCCTGTTGTTGTGATTTGGCTGTCTTTAAAGTATTAATGACAAGTGCGGGTAGTGTTGTATACAATGAGTAACACAACAAAAAATTGGTTTCAGATTTTTCTACGGCGTTTAACGACCGCAAAAGCAAAACGAGAAGAGGATCGAGTGAAAAAATTGTATGAAAGACGACCCGAATACGTATTGGATAATATTGTAAGGGAAAGGTTAGATAGCATAGTCATCCTTTGAATCACTTCTTTGATATACTATAGTTTTTCAATAAAGAATTAATTCTCTTTGAACCAACTTCGTTTATTGATGCGATGTCATTTGAGAACGAAGAATTAATGGAAAGTGTGAGTCCTTTACGCTTTGAAATCCCGAGGACTATTTTCTGCGGATGTTTTCCTTAGAGCTTTAGTGCCCATACAGTTTATTATCTATTCATGGTGAGAACTGATAAATTTGCCTCGGAAATCTCAAATATTCATAATCTAATTTTAGATACCCAACATTTTCGTCGGCACTTCGTGATCTGGATGATGCGTTGTGTTTATGTTTTGCGTTCGCGACGTTACCGAATACGAAGATTCTCAAAACATCATTAATCGCATCATGTAGAAGACTTACGGCTGAATTCAATAATTTCATTATTGAATCACATACACTTACCAAAGTAAGAGAATTGAAAATATATGCCTCTTTGTCGTATCTGGTAATGCAACGTCAAATTTCAAAGTATTTGAGCATCGAGCCCAGACATCTATATTGGTTTTCAAGCGCCATAATATACCTTGGGGAATCAGTGGTGATTGCCTGGAACTATTTCTAATTTATGGAGAAAATGACAGATTGGATGTTCAGCTGTATGATAACTCATAATCAACTAGGATAAATTGTACTGCTGACATAGTTTTATGAAGATACACTGAATCTTCGTAAAACTCCTAAGAGTATTATTGGTCTTGGTTCAATTGTCAAACGAAAGAGAAGTTTAAATCGTGAAAATTCAAAGAAGCGTATTTTCAGGCGTTCATTTCTATCAAAGGAATCTATTACGAGGCGAATGTAATGGGTGAACGTGTGACGTGGATCGTTCCGCATGATCGTGGCGTGGGACATGTGGCTGAAGTGGACTTTTCAGTGATGGCTACTTTTGCTGAATTTTATGTGGCCATGTTGGGATTCGTCAATTATCGTTTATATCAATCAATCGGACTGTTCTACCCACCACAAATCGCCTATTCAACATCGAATGAAAAGGTTTCTGAATTTTGTTCCATCGGCTT